CAGCAAGCACAAAGCTAGATACACGCTTTGCAGGGGTAGATACACTTGACCCTGTACCCCATAAACCTGCCCCAGCTTAATCTTTTAAATGGCCAGGGCCCACTAGCAAGTCCATAATTTTACTTTCTACTACTAGAACCTAAAATCAACTTAGCAACATTGCATTTAGTCCATGTGGTTACTGAATAATAAGCCTCGGTATATGATATTAATCACAACACGCACCCGCCAATAGATATAAAGAGCAATAGAAAAGCTAAACTTCAGCAATGTTTTCCAACATTTTATCCAGTACAGCAGTTTAAATACTTCCTACAATCATTAAAATGTGTCTTAGAAATGCAACTGTAAAGAATATAAAACAAATAACACTGTAATTCAGCCTTGTATGTTGTGTTTTACCTTCATTTATTCCTCAGTGAAGAAAAGGTCGTTTTTTGAATGTGTTTGTAAAAGACCACTAAGCTCATTAGCCAAACATCACATTCCACATCAGAATTTCATGATCTGTTGCACCATCAGCTCCAGGCCATGTCTTTACAATTAAAATTGAGCTCAGCCTTTTCCATTCTAAGGACCATTTGTTTATAACTAGAAAGGATAGAGGCTAAAATTAACTTTTTCAAATACAATTTTCTTTTTCCTTAATAAAGTGCTGATACTAAAAACCTGAGAATTATGGCCTGCAAAAGAGTAGATCTTTCATTTCTGTTCAATCACAGAAAACAAAATTTACTGTTATATTAAAAAACATAATGTAAAAAAAATATATGACATGTTAGCCATGCCGTTAAAAGGGGGGAGTGGGGTAGAAAAGAATGTGATGTTATGGAAACATAACAGTCCATCTCGTTTTCATTGAAAATGCTCCACTTGCTTCCCCACAAGTGTAAGGTGTTTGGTCTTAAGACATCTCTTTAATTTAGTTGGCTTAGGCACCAGATTTAACACCTCAGTCAATAATCCACACATTAGACTTTTGGATTAGCATCATTACAATCAAAGCAACAAAAACAAACCTTACAAGATATCTGCTTCTTTATGATTGGTTTATCAACTTCAGTTTATCTACTCAGTTTGTTGATGCTCAGTCAAAAATAAAAAAACAAGTGCAAATCTAGCTAGTATTTTATGATAGAGATAGGGCCTCTCAGGTTGGAAGGCACTCAACTTGCTACTGAGGAAGAGCTGAGGATTCCTCTGAGTTCAGCCTACATGGGTACATGGTTAACTCAAAGCCTGTGGGACAGTTCTGACAGTTTTTCTGAAGTTGACATGTGAGAAATGAGAATTCAAATTCAAAAGCAGTGAAGATGGAAATTGTCTACACATCTATATCCTAGGGGTCAGTGAGCTAAAACAGACCAGATAAGGACACTTTCCATAAGGGGAACACACTAGGGGATCTACTACTTGGGTCATGAACAAAGAAGAAATGAAGTGGCTTTCACGGGAGAACACACACGGGACGACAACTTATAAGCTATTGGGTCCATTTATTCTCTATCAGGATTTCAAAGATTTGTTGTAGTGAGAGGAATTCAGCTCACTGTCACAAAAGTAACAGCCAACTGAAACAAACAAAGAAATAAAGAAAAACAAAAATACAAATTTTAAATGGACCTGGCTTAAATACTTTTTCGGTCCGCTACAGACGACCTACTGTTTCTGACTTTACATCTACAAGGTAGACCAACAAGGTAGGAGTGTCTTATAGAGCGAACAGAATTTAAATGTACTGGATGAAGTCATTTGAGTCGGAAAGAGATGGGATTTGTAAAAATCCTATATAGTTCTTATTTTGTTGTACCTCAATCATTTAAGTTCAACACATGACATGCAATTGATGGAACTGAAGCATATACACTGCATATATTTATATGCCCTACGTACATGTGAGACTTACAAAGTTACACAAAGAAACAATAGAAGAAAACAAGCCAGGTTTAGATTTGAATGTCCTATAGAGTGTTGGAGAATCTCAATAAAGTTGTCTTGATAATGGTGATAAGCCATGCTGTATCCTAAACCACATCAAAAAGTCTGTGTGACATTAATGAAAGAAAAATGTAAATAAAACAAAATGCAGTGAGGTGCAAATCATTTAAACCCTATATTTTATTGAAAATACTACAAAGACAACATATCAAATGTTGAAACTGAGAAATTTTATTGTTTTTTGAAAAATATATGCTCATTTTGAATTTAATGGCAGCAACACGTTCCAAAAAAGTTGGGACGGGGTCAACAAAAGGCTGGCAAAGTTGTGTAATGCTTAAAAAACACTTGGTGGTTAATTGGCAACAGGTCAGTAACATGATTGGGTATAAAAAAAGCAATCCAGAGAGGCGGAGTCTTTCAGAAGTAAAGATGAGGAGGGGTTCACCACTCTGTGAAAGACTACACAATCAAATAGTGCCACAATTCAAGAATAACGTTTCTTAACATAAAATAGTAAAGAACTTTTGCTTTTCATCATCTACAGTACATAATATCATTAAAGGATTCAGAGAATCTGGAGAAATCTTTTATTTATTTATTTATTTTTTTCAAAACACAACACCTTCATTTTCAACAAATAAATTCAACTAAACTCAACCCTGGACTTTTGTCTAGACCAGCCCACTACAACCACGTTGATGTTTCCCCCAACAAAAAACAAGCTTACAGAAAACAATCACATGTTAAATCACAGTCACAATATTGGTCAGAAAAATCACAATTACATATTTTTCTGTATATTTTACATATACAGAAAAGATTTGGGTGACTGCTGACATCTACTTTTTACTAGCCACAGTTGCTGTTTAGCTCCAGCGCTAAACTAAAGATGGAACCATTCTTGAAATCATTCTGTGTAATCTCTCGAGACACAAGGCTTCACTAGGCTTTCCATTAATACTAGATTTTTAAAATATTAATTAAAATTACCTTCTCAAATAAAATTCTACCTTCTGAATTAATGATTAGTAATCAATGATTTCTGTATTAATCAGAGAATTTTGATTACTGTTCAAATCGCAAACTAAAGTTGGTCCACGAAGGGGAGCTATGAGCACTCCAGTTGCTTTTGTGCGATTGTTTGTGTGCATACATTACCTCTCCTCATGAATCCCTCCCAAACAGACCTTCAGTTAGCTAACTCGTTTCACTGGCTAAAGAAATATTTATTTTTGTTACCTCACTGGATTTCGTACCATATGGAGCTAAACCACCTATGGCCACCTAATCATGATGTGCATGCACAGTTTGGCTGTATTATGTGTTTTGACGAGATGTCAAACCTCTCTGTACACAGGAATCTATATCTACACAGGAGTCAAATTAAAATTTCACTTGAAGTCGTTGTATTTAAACAGCTTTTTGACTTACACTTTTGACTTGACTTATATGACGTTTAAATATTAAATTAATAAGTAAATAATGTAAGTCTTCTTACCTCCAAACAGCTGTCTGTATGTTAAATTAGTCCTGAGTAGCACCGATAAAATCCAATATTATGATATTTTTCAGATATACCACAGTACCACACTGTCAGATGATATTAAAGTTAATGCACTCATGCTTCCTGAGTTCCCTTATTTTTTAATGCATATTGAGCACATGACTGATCTCACAGTATATCACGTTATACCAGTACAGTAAAATAATAATTTTATAGTATTACTGCACTATACAATTTGGCATCCGTACTGTTAAAATCAGTTGAAGTCAAATTCAGCTGAGATAAACTAAGAATTTGATTGCAACTAGTGTCATCCAGTTTATGTCTATGTCACTAATACTGAGGCACAATACACCGATCAGGCATAACATTATGTCCACCTCCTTGTTTCTGTGCTTATTCTCCATTTTATCAGCTCCACTTACTATATAGGTGCACTTTGTAGTTCTACAGTTACAGACTGTAGTCCATCTGTTTCTCTGCATACTTTGTTAGCCCCCTTTTACCCTGTTCTTCAGTGGTAAGGACCCCCATGGACCCTCACAGAGCAGGTACTATTTGGGTGTTGGATCATTCTCAGCACTGCAGTAACACTGATGTGGTTGTGGTGGTGTTAGTGTGTGTTGTGTTGGTACGAGTGGATCAGACACAGCAGTGCTGCTGGAGTGTTAAACACTGTGTCCACTCACTGTCTGCTATTTTAGACGATAGCTCATCTCTTGCTGTACAGTATGAGCTAATTATCCTCTAGTGCTTCATTGGTGGTCACAGGACGCTGCCCACAGGACGCTGTTCACTGGATATTTTTGGTTATTAGACAATTCTCAGTCCAGCAGTGACACTGAGAAAAAGTTAACATCAGATTCATGATGTGTTCTTAAACTGTAGAACTGTTTCCACCTTTGTGCTCAAGTGTGTGTAGATTCTGAAGAACAAATCCTAAAAACAAAAATGTTTATGATTGTCAGCATCTTAATGAAAACTTCTCAAGTGTGTTTTAAGAAGAAATTTCTTAATTTCTTAAGAATGGTTGGTGAATGAGGCTTATTGTATTATTGCTCAAAGTATAATAAAATTGAGGTGTCAATGAATTGAATGAATTGTTCTTGTTGTTCCATTTTCCATTTCCATTTTAGAAAACATTCAATTTTTCAATATTCAATATTATTGCTATTATTATTATTACACAGCATTCAATATTTAAACGAGTAATTTGTATGATCATTGCACATGACAAATTAATTGTGGATTTAACTCTGGCTCATACATGCTATCCTGTAAAATTACAGAAAAAAAATAACTGAAATCCATTTTGTGGCTTTGTGATTCATGGATCTGTTGTCGTAGTCTGGGCTTTTTGGTGGGATGCTAATCTTTGACTCAAAGTTTTAACTATATATTTTGATGTACATGCACATATTTACACAGCATATCATCACCGTCATGCAAAAATCTTGTTTCTTATTTTTTAGAATTTTTACTTTCAGATTGTGTAAAGTTCTGAATTACTCTCTACATTATATCAAAAAGTCATGATGAACAGGTCAGTAGAAATGTTCTGTTCTGACAGCGATGATGTTTTATGATATTGATATTGGTATTTCTCATATATTCACATACCAGAACTGTTACAGAGCATTACAACATTGGTGTCTACAGATACTATAATGAGTTCTAAGAATTAAATGTAATAAAAGCATAAACTGTTGATTTAGAAAGTGCTGTTTGTGTAACTATAGCTAGGTACAGAGATTATACAGGGTTATGCTTAAAATGCTCAAACTGAATAATGAATACAGAACTCTTATGAAATGTTAGCAAGAGTAGTTAATGGTAGATCATACTTCTTCAGAAGTGGTGAAAGGTGTCTCTTAGCGTGTGCTCGGGTCATCCTCCTCCTCCTCAATTGCATTTTCAATCTTTGTCAGAAGCGCACAACATTTCCTCTCAAAGTCCTTCCCTATGAACACATAAAGAAATCAGGTTCAGACAGCTGTTGGCACTGGCAAAAGTAGCACCTATTACCTGTCCAGTAGGGAGAATACTCGCGTATTTGTGGTGGTTTAGTTCCATCAAAGCAACAGTGTGAAAAGGCAGCCAGCAGATGAGGAAAGTAGCAATCAGTGCCGTCATGATCTTGAAAGGCTTTTTGGACCTCGCTGACTGGTTGAGCTTCAGCTTTGGTATGATGTCAATGTAACAGAAGATAATGATGAGGAACGGCATCAAAAATCCAAAAACGAAGCGGCAGGACACTACGGCAGCATGCTGCTCAGCAGATGTGTAGTTGTTGAAACAAATATTTCTGTCCTCGAATATGTCACGCTCAGTGTCACGGAAAAAAGCTGATGGTGAACTAAACGCTGATGCGATGACCCAGGCTAGCACAACCACCACAGAAGCCTTTCTTACGGTGCGCTGTTTCTGAGCCCACACAGGAAACATAAGGACCACGCAGCGGTCCACACTGATGATGACGAGGAGGAAGATGCTGCTGAACATATTGAGGAACAGGATGAAGGAAGTGAACTTGCACATGAAGAGTCCAAAGACCCAGTCGTTTTTGACCGTATAAGCAACACTGATGGGCAGGAAGGAGCAGAACAGGAAGTCGGACACGGCCAGACTCAGGTACCAGGTGGTGTTTACTGACTTCTTCACCTTAAACCCTGCAATCCAGATCACCAAACCATTTCCAGCGACACCCAGGATCAATTATGATCACATTAATTACTGCCAAAAAAACACGCTTTGCATCTGTGCAAGTTGCTGGAGGGGCTGGAGTTTGGTATTCATATTCAGGATAATAGTCAGCATATTCATAATCTTCAGTGGTTGAATTCATGATGCCTCCTGATTCTGTAAAGTGAACAGAAACAGGAAAGGTGTAGCTCTGCTCACTAATTAAATTCTTTATCAGAAACACTTAAAGGTTGCATTTGCCAACTTTGTTGTCAAGATGACACAACGGCTGTGTCAGATAATGGCACCTATCGGAATAAGCTTTTTTAAAAGATATGTAGGTTTATGTCAGCTGTCATAAAGGTTTATGCTGCATGTAGACTTATGAACACTGACCTACAATAAAGAGTTACAGTTATCTTTTCCTTTTGCAGACAAGATAAAGCATATAATAATATCTTATATATGAAATATTGAGAAAAGCTAATAATGAGTATGAACAGTTTTACACTTAAACAATATATATATATATATATATATATATATATATATATATATATATATATGCACAATATAAAAAATACTAGTATACAATAATGTAATATAATTATAAAACAAAAGAATTCTTATATCCTGAGCATGTTTTTTGCCAAAAGAACAAAAAAAAGGTACTCTCCTGATGTCTTTTTGGTTATGAGCTTATTATTTGGATGATGTGTATATATGTTAGGCCATGAACTGCATGTATCATTACATTCCTCTTTTTTTATCTGGCATAGCATTACAAGTTAAAAAATATTGTCTGGGCTGTATAAAACTTTGCACAAGTTTATTTCAGGTGATTTATCCACTTGTATGGAGGAGCGTGTTCACATATATACACACCCCATCTTTGTGGGCATTTAGGGTCTAAAATGCATCGTGGCAAGATGACAAGATATTGCAAAGAAACTCTCAGTCCTGCATGTAAAAACTCCTGGGAAAAGTCCTGGGAAGCCCCCTAGACCCACTGCAGATGGTGGGAGACAGGAGGATGTTACCCAGACTAGCATCCATGCTGGAGAACAGCTCCCACCCCATGCATGGGACTCTGGCAGCAGTGGGCAGCTCCTTTAGTGACAGGCTGCTTCACCCCAAGTGTGTGACGGAGCACCATCACAGGTCTTCCTTCCTGCTGCTATTAGACCGTATAACCAGCACCGCTCCCAGTAGAACCCCACCCACCTCCTTTAGACCTCACATGCCTACGGTACAGAAACTGTGGAAGTCAAAACCATTTCCTGTGTGCAACATAATCAACACTCCATGTGCAATATTTTTAAAATATATCTATAATGTAAAGATTTTTTGCTTTTCTATTCTTAATCTTTATATTGTTAACTCCTCGCCATCTCCATGTGTAACATAAATCAGTATCTCATGTGAAATACTCTGTGTGAAATTTGGGCAAAATATCCTTTATAGCTTTTATTTACTTATATTGTTAATTTTTGTGAAGGACAGACTTTATATTGTTCTCTAATTTTTTGCCTTTTTAAGTAATTAACAAAGTTAATTACGTACTTGTTAATTTCTCTTCTTGTTACTTCTTTTCTTTTTCTTGAGTGCTTTGCTCACCCTTTGCTAAATTTCCCTGTTGTGGGACTAATAAAGGATTATGTTATCTTATCTCTTATCTCTTAATTATGGGTCCTTTTTGCCCCATGTTGTGCATTAGAAGGGTAGTGATACAAAAAAAATGTAAAAAAAAAAAAAAGGATTTGTGATGATAAAAATAAGTTTTAATTGAGGAATTCATAGAATCCTTAATGATGAAAATAATTTATTCCAAAGATATTGAAAATAAAACTCAGAGCAGAGGTCACTAATGGGCGGACCGCGGTCCGAGAAAGTGAGCCAGGTTATTTCACATGGCGTGCTCTAAAAAGAGAAAACTGACAATAAATGTTCTTGAAATATTACTGAATTGCATTTGATTTGATTTAACATTCAGTCGTTGACTACATAAGATGTTAATATAACTACTAGGCTACTTCAGTAAACAGTATATGGCACTAAATCATGATGCAAATTAGACATTGTGGTGTTCTGGACCGTTACTTGAGGGCATTTTCTCTAACTGGACCTTAGTGAATTTTAATTAAAGACCCCTGCTGTAGAGGATCACAAGGACATTAAATCCAACATGACAAATGTTATTTTGCTTTTAACTACAAATGCAACAAGCAAGCTCAAAGACATTCTTACCTTCAGCACATTAAGGAAATCAGAAGCGAGTGAAGTAGCTGTGTATTCTTCTAAACGAGCTGAACTGGAACCTGTATCGTTTGCAATCTGTGAAATCACAAAGTTGCTGCTGCTCAGGGCACAGGAAGTGCTTTGAATAGTCTACTCTTCCTCACTCACCCTGGAAACTTGGCAGAAAGTCAAGTCAAATTTTTCTAAACAATGTTGTGCCTAATGTTACTTCTCACAAGAGTCCTATGTTAGCAGACAGCGCAGCCTGGACAGCACTGGACAATGTGTTTCACAACAAAAATGCTAAAAGCATCCTTAGTGTGAGGAAATTAAGTATAACCATGTATCATCAGTGATGGCCGTTTTGTTATGTATATTTTCTTACAAATTCATGCTACTGTCAGATAAAGGTTTCCAACAAAGATGCTGTCCACCAATAGGTGGTGTTATATGAGAGTGCTTGGTAGCAGTTTTTGAACACTGTGACCACTTATTGCCCACTCTATTTAACACACCAACCTTGTCGGTCCATCTTGTAGATGTAAAGTCAGAGACAGTAGCTCGTCTATTGCTGCACAGTTTGTGTTGTTCATCCTCTAGTCTCTCATCAGTGGTCACAGGACACTGTTGGCTGGATATGTTTGGTTCTCAGTCCAGCAGTGACACTGAGGTGTTTAAAATCTCCAGAAGCACTGCTGTGTTTGATCCACTCATACCAGCACAACACACACCACGCCAACACCATGTCAGTGTCACTGCAGTGCTGAGAATGATCCACCACCCAAATAGTACCTGCTCTGTGAGGGTCCTCTAGAGCTCCTGACTATTGAAAAACAGGGTAAAAGCAGGCTAACAAAGTAGGCAGAGAAACAGATGGACTACAGTCTGTAATTGTAGAACTACGAAGTGCACCTATATGGTAAGTGGAGCTGATAAAATGGACAGAAAATGCAGATATAAGGTAGGTGCACCTAACAAAGTGACCACTGAGAGCTGAATGTATGTTGTAGAGGGAAGTGGGACAACAAACTAAAATATGAAGTTGGTCAAATTTGTTGTGAAGATGACAAGAAAAATGTCATTTGTATCATGTCCATTATTTTCTTTTTGTGTTTATAAATGTTGTAGGAGTATTTGTGTCGTTCAAGTATCCTGGAAATAGTATGTTGAACCTTCAACACCCTCAGAAGACATTTTGGCAGCTGGTGAGAGGGATGGAGGACATGAGGGACAGTGAGAGGAAGCAGAAAGGGTGGAGCGATGACAGAGGGGGGCTGAGAAGGGGGAGGAAAGAAGAAGAAAAAGGGCAAGACAGGGGCTAAAGGAGAAACAAAAAGCAAATGAGAGATAAGAGAACTGGAGGCACAAAGAGAGAAGAAAAGAGACTGAGAGCTGAGAGAGAGAGAGAGAGAGAGAGAGAGAGAGAGAGAGAGAGAGAGAGAGAGAGAGAGAGGCAAGCTTGTTAAAACCTGTTAAATGAAACAGTTACACAGCCCATTGTCATTATTACAGTTTGTTAGAAAACTGAAGACTGAAATGTTTGAGTATGTGTAGATGTGTGTGGTTAGGATGCACATTTTCATATTAAATACATTGTCCAGGCTGCTCAATTAGAGATCCATTTTCTGATCACTCCCAATATTCCAAACAAGAAAGCATCAATTATAGCCCCAGTGGGTTCTTTAAATCATTGGATTAAGCTTATTACTTTTCCTCCCTACATAATTCATGCATTCATCTGATATTAGGCAAATAATGTGTGATTGGCCATTCTACCAAATATCTTGTATATAACACATTTTCTGTTCATATATATATATATATACACTGCTCAAAAAAATAAAGGGAACACTCAAATAACACATCCTAGATCTGAATGAATGAAATATTCTCATTGAATACTTTGTTCTGTACAAAGTTGAATGTGCTGACAACAAAATCACACAAAAATCATCAATGGAAATCAAATTTATTAACCAATGGAGGCCTGGATTTGGAGTCACATACAAAATTAAAGTGGCAAAACACACTACAGGCTGATCCAACTTTGATGTAATGTCCTTAAAACAAGTCAAAATGAGGCTCAGTATTGTGTGTGGCCTCCACGTGCCTGTATGACCTCCCTACAACACCTGGGCATGCTCCTGATGAGGTGGCGGATGGTCTCCTGAGGGATCTCCTCCCAGACCTGGACTAAAGCATCCGCCAACTCCTGGACAGTCTGTGGTGCAACGTGACGTTGGTGGATGGAGCGAGACATGATGTCCCAGATGTGCTCAATCAGATTCAGGCCTGGGGAACGGGCGGGCCAGTCCATAGCTTCAATGCCTTCATCTTGCAGGAACTGCTGACACACTCCAGCCACATGAGGTCTAGCATTGTCCTGCATTAGGAGGAACCCAGGGCCAACTGCACCAGCATATGGTCTCACAAGGGGTCTGAGGATCTCATCTCGGTACCTAATGGCAGTCAGGCTACCTCTGGTGAGCACATGGAGGGCTGTGCGGCCCTCCAAAGAAATGCCACCCCACACCATTACTGACCCACTGCCAAACCGGTCATGCTGAAGGATGTTGCAGGCAGCAGATCGCTCTCCACGGCGTCTCCAGACTCTGTCACGTCGGTCACATGTGCTCAGTGTGAACCTGCTTTCATCTTTGAAGAGCACAGGGCGCCAGTGGCGAATTTGCCAATCCTGGTGTTCTCTGGCAAATGCCAAGCGTCCTGCACGGTGTTGGGCTGTGAGCACAACCCCCATCTGTGGATGTTGGGCCCTCATACCATCCTCATGGAGTCGGTTTCTAACCGTTTGTGCAGACACATGCACATTTGTGGCCTGCTGGAGATCATTTTGCAGGGCTCTGGCAGTGCTCCTCCTGTTCCTCCTTGCACAAAGGTGGAGGTAGCGGTCCTGCTGCTAGGTTG